GCTGTGGTATATTTACACCATAAAATACTATGCGGCTGTAAAAAGGAAGGATCTATTACCCTTTGAGACAACATGGAGGGGCCTGGAAATTATTATGCTAAGCAAAATAAGGCAGTCAAAGAAAGACAAATATCACATGATCTCACTTATATGTGGAATCTAATGAGCAAAATAAACTGATGAATAAAATAGAACCAGAAGCATGAAAACATGGAATAGACTGACAAATCTCAGAGGAAAGGAGGGAGGGGGGTGGGAAGAGATTAACCAAAGAACTTATATGCAAAAATGCATAGCCCATGGACACAGACAATAGGGTGATGAAGGCTTGGGGGTGTGTGTGGCAAGAACAGGCTGAAGGGGGCAGTGGGGGGAAAGGGAGGGACATCTGTAATACTCTCAGCAATAAAGATAAAAAATGAATAAGTAAAAAGTAATCAGTGTTGAATATTCAGGTATCTTCTTATTAAATATTCTTCTCTATATTGCTCTTACATTTATTCAGTCACTAATTCAATTTCAGATGTTTATTAACCACCTACTTTGTGCCACGCAACACGCTCAACTCAGGTATCATAGTCTCTTTCTTAAGAGTATTCTGAGCCAGCATCTTAAAATTAACTCTGGGGGTTAATTACTAATACTGTGTGTTCAAGACTTGGGGTGAGTAGGAGAAGAATTCCATCTTATATTTACACAAGTGATTTATTTATTTTACAAAGCATTTTAAAATCCTTTGGTTAAGACCTCTCACTGTTGAGTAAGTAAGGTCATGTTCATTCCCATTCCAGGGGCCATGGGAGGCAATCTAGTTCTAAAACTGAGGTGTGTTTTCTCTGGAGCAAGCACATGCCTTCACCAGCTCCAGTGCTCACTTTGAAACAGTGATGGGTGACAGATGGCACTCAAAGGACAGAAGGTGGCACTCAGCCATTCCTCTGCATTACTATCACTTTGGGGACTCATTTTCCTCTTTTCCCTTCTTTCCCTCCCCCATTTGTTATTTTTCCCTTCCTTTCTGCTTTCCCTCTTTCTGATAAGTTTATCACCCATAGATACACACCTTAGGCATTGCTTAGCTGGTGACATTTAGCACTAAAAACGTTTACCTCCTTTGCTCCTAGGCTGGAACCAACCCAAACTCCAGAATGTGGCCTGGGGGGGGAGAAGAAGCACAAAAATGGCCCAAACTTTGTGTTACTCGGCTACTGACAACTCTGTTCCATACCAGGGCCCAGGAGGTAAACCAGCAGCTCAGCCTGGGCCATAAACAAGGTTTAAGCAGAAGCACTTCAAAGATACTCAGCTGTGTGCAGGTCAAACAAGGGTCTGGAAATGGAACCTGGGTTTTCTGCATAGGGTCTCACACTATTGCAAAGCCAGGGAACTGGAGCAGAAAGGCAATGCTTGCTTTTCACCCAACACATGAAGTAAGGCCCCCTTTTCCCAGCATCAGTTTCCCCAAACCCTGCTCTGGGGGCAGTGAATCTTGACTGGCTCAGATTGATTGGAGCAGAAGAGAAAAAGAAGCAGCAGGTCCTAAACGTGAAGGTGAGGAGGAGGGTGTCCTGCCCAGAAAGGGAGCCAGGAATGTTCTCTGGGGTACAGCAAGTGCCTGGGATCCTCATGCCTGGAGGGACCAGGAGCCAGTTCAAGTGGGAGGTGTCAGGAATGCAAAGTCGGCTGTAGGCTCAGCACAATAAAAATGTCAAGCCGAGGCAGGGAATAACGTGAGGATAAGAGCGCCTTCTGTTTTGTGGGAGGCGGGTTATGAAATGTTAGAAGCACACGTTTGCTTTCATGTGTCTGTTTGGTTGCAAGTCTACTCTGCTGTTTGCTGGAACTCAGGAGAACTGATGGGAAAGTAGCGTCCGGGAACCTGTTCCCACCCCAGGGAGTTCTGACTCTTTCTTCCCATGCCCCAGAGATTCTCCTGCAGCTGCGTTAAGAGGAATTTAGAGAGCAATCCATCCCGGCCTGCCTAATGAAAGTGAGCATTTACTGTGCTGCCTGTGGGCCTGAAAGGTAGTGGGGAGTGGATGAGTCTGTACCTTCTCAGAATCCATGTGGTTGGCAAAACAGATGACAAAACACCAAGAAAACTCCAGGCTTACTTCAACTTGCCATCATTTGTAAAGACACAGAGCTCAGCCCTGCTGAGCCACACAGCCTCACCTTGCCATGCAAGCAAGTAGAAACAGCACTTACAGCCTCCAGGCCCCAGCCTCTTCAATGCAAATCCACGCCAGTTCCTGACTCCTGCCCAGCTGGGAGGACTAGGACTTGCCTTTGCTGTCTTTTCACACCAGCCCAGCTGAAGTGCAGCATGGGTAATGGGAAAAACTGGAGCAGATGTTAGGAATCTGAGCTTTCTTGTCTCAAGTCCACCAGCAATTTGCTCAGTTGACTGAAAGGAACTTGACAAAACTTTCTGGAACTTAGTTTCCCCATTGGTAAAATCAGAGTAATGACATCTGCCCTATTTACCTCTAAGAGTTGTGGTGAATCTCTTAGGAGTGGATTCATGAACCTGAAGCACCTTCAAAGATAAGGGATGCTCACTGCTCAGTCTGGGCCTATTGGTTGGGTTCTTGCTGGCTGACCTCTCTTATCTGACTCACAAGTGCAGCGTTCTGTTCTGGGAGGGCAGAGTATCCTCTGGTTTGGAGAAAACTAGGCTTTTGTGTAGGCAGACCCAGTCTAGGACCAGGTCACTCCCAGGGAGCACACAGATGGTCCTCTGGGGACAAGAGAGAAGGTGATAATGCTCAAGTCTGTAATGCCCAGCCCCTCCTGGGTCTTCATTTAGCCAATTCCTAAATCTCTAAACAACGTGGCAGATGGGGCCACACAACTCCCCCAAAACATGAATAGGGACCAGTGAGAATGCCTCTGTGATGTCAACAGAGAAGCTACTATCAACTGGACCCAAGCCCTCCAGCTAAGCCCAAGAGCTGGCATTGGTCACCCAGGGAGGACTGCCCAAAAGGGTGAACTGCATGCCTCAGGGTTGGAAAAACTCACAGTTCTGGAAGAGAGCAAGGTTTATTGCACAATCAGATACTGGTGTTAATGCTCAAGTGAGTAAAGGTGGTAACAATACCCACTGTATTACTCATTGTGGGCCCAGACAGGGTCATTGGGAAGTAACAGAGGGGGAAGGGAATGCTGAGCCCTTACACCCAGGCCCGAAAGAAAAGCTCTTCTTGTCATCTAGTTACAAACAATGAAAGCAAACTGACTCTGACAGAAACGTTGTTGGTGGGGGAGAGACCTGGAAGAGACGCTAAACCGTTCCCAGAATAAATTGCCCTGTAAATCTGAAGAATGTTAGTGGAGAGAAGCCACTGCTCATTCTTTCTTTTAAGCCAGATAATATCCTCCTGCTGGAACAGAGTTGTTCTTGGCACTGGGACCTAAATGTGAGGAGGGAATCAAAACACCATGCCTGAGGAAGGAATCCATAAGAAATGTGAAGGCAGGGACCTGTGAGAAGCAACAAAGAAAGATGCATTGGTGGCTGGGACAAAGATTAACTGTACCAGAGGAGATGGGACCAGCTATGCAGGCACTGGGTCAGCTGAGCTGCAGGGCCACCTGTGACCTCTGCCTCCACTCTGAGGGCTCAGGGGAAGGTTCCTGCCCAGCCAGGGCATCCCCAGGTCAGGCTTCTGGAAGTTGAGCCCCCAGCACCTGCTGACTTGTGCACCAATTCTGGAAGGACATTCCATGAACACATCAGTGAGGATTCATCTTGTGACGCAAAAAATCAACACAGAAAGTAGTGAAACCTGGCAGGGAGAGTATTCTCTATCTTTATCTTCAATTACACTGGCACTGCCTCTGGGGGACTTTGCCAAGTTTGACAAATGACAGAAGAATTTGGAAGAATTTCTTTGCTGGCAAAAGGAAGTCTATGATTGGACATGAGCATGCCACCATAGTTCTATGTGCTGAAACTCTAGATGGTAGGCAGAAACCCCAGATTCCTTTCCATTCTTTTCACATTTAATCCCTTAGTGCTCATGTGCAGAGTCCTCAAGTCAGTATCATTTGGGTAAAGATGAAGTTATCTGCTGTGACAAAAACAAATCCATCACAAATGCTATACATTCCAGCTAAAGGCTTCACGTTGTCTGCATGAATCATCAGGCAACAGCAGCTACACTTGCCCAACTCTGAAACACTCGTGGAACACTCATCTCCACTCATCTCCACTCACCTCCACTGTTCATGAAAGCACCTTTCTCCAGGTGACTTGGGGCCATTTATGGGCTCCTGGTTCAGTCTTCATCATAGAGCACTGGGTGTGGAAAGAGGAAGGGTTCACATAATTGTCTGCATTTGATGTGGGGAAACAGAGGCTCAAACAAGCCCTACAGTGAAATGTGTAGATATTTTTAAATCACACACTGTCCACGGAAGAGCCAAAATGAGCTCCTAAATGGACTATTTTCTTGCCCAACAATTTCATGCAGCCGTTCCGACATAGCCTCACAACTGGTGAGCCAAAATGCAAACTCACTGAATTTTATGTTTAATAACCACTTTCCCTCCCCTCATTTCATCTCTGATTCTTGCTCCATCACGCTTACAATTTGATTGGCCCTTTCATTGACTTTAGAGGCCTCTCAACTCTCCTCTAGTCTGTACTTGCTCCCAGTTCTTATGGTCAGTTCATTCCTGACATTTCATCTATTTTTGACTGTTACATGATCCTGATATTTCTCCCATTTTGAACCTCTACCACCCCTTCCCCTTACCTGACCACAGTCTATAAACCTTTACGCCCAGGGGTAGGATTGGCAATAGGGTGAAGATCAGGGCTGGGATGAAGCTCAAAGATGGAATATAAAATGCCCACTTTACTCATCATTTATTTTTAAAAAGCTGAACATTTATTGGCTGAATTTTTTTAGGCCAAATTAAAATATCTTCATGTCAAAAAAGCTGCACCAAAGTGGCTCTATTAAAATAGCTGCATCCAATGAACTGAGAATCTAGATGCCACCTGCTCCTGGCACCTGACTTTGGTCCTCTTATCGTGTGTCCTTGCCTTCTGTTCTGCTGTATTCTGGTGCGTGGTTAATCAGAAGACGAGCTAGCTCCAGGGCCACTTTTTATGTTGTTCCAAGTGAGGACTATGTAGGTGCTACAGATGAAACTGGTCCAGAAGCCGAGCAGGATGTTAATGGCATGGTCACGTGTTTCCACCACCCGGTGAGGCAGCCGGGCTGGCATCAGTCCTCTCCCAACCTCCTTCCTGCCCCCATCCACCCACGAGCTCTTGTTGGGTCAGAAATGCAAATCTTTGATGGTGCCAGACAGCCAGATGATGCTGGAAAGAAAACAAAAAAAAGAAAAAGCAGGTTTCTAAATTAAGCACATCTCATTTATAAAAATAAATAGCCACAGCCTAGCAATGTGCTCAGCTTCTCTCTGTGATGTAACCTCTGTGGCTGGAGCCGGGGATGACACATCCTTCAGAGAGCTCCACGCCCTGGCCCCTCCCCACGCATAGTACTCATTTGGAGAGTGCTGACAGTGGCACTTCGAGGGCCCAGCTCCTCATTCACGGCCAACCAAGGGCCAGTCTCCAAAGGAGCAGAGAGGAGCCAGAGCTTCCCAAGTTTAATGAGGCTCCTAAACATCTACAGGCTCTTAGCAATAAGTAACACACCTGAAGCAAAAGCAGATGACATTTTTGGGGCTGCTCTATTGAAACAGAAACCCCTCTTTGAGATCATGTTTACTATTTAATGCCTAGTACCCAGCTTAGCACATGGCACACACTGGACAGTCAATAACTGTGTGAGGGAAGACTGGATGGAAAATGAATGAATGAATGAATGAATGAATGAATGAATGAATAGATGTCATTCAATCATCGCTGCTTCCCAAACTTTCCACCCTAAATGGAATAAACTCCAGGATCTACAAAGAAGCATAATCTCCTGATTATGACATTTACCAAAAAGGCAATGTGTCCTTGGGTTGGTATTTAAATTTGAGGAATTAACTGAGGTAAGCACTTAGGAGGTTACTAGAAAGCGTGGGCTTTCGTAACCCAGGTGCAGGTGGTGTGGCATCACACCTGGGAAGAGCAGAGGACACAGGGTGTGCACTTGGAAATAATTGTCAGTGCTCCTGGACTTGTCTCCTTCTCTAGGCAGCTTCAGCTCCAAGGGTGAGAGCTGAAGATAGGTCAAGAAGCTACAGGACAAAATAGTACAGGAACTTCTGGTATTAGTCTGGTCAGGAAACAAAAAGTGGAGCCCACAATGCCTTTAGAGGCTCAACAGTTCACACACATCAGAAATAGACCGCAGTACAGAAGATTTAATCCCACCACCAACCCTCCCAAGTCATGGCATGATTAAGTTAGTCTAGGTGATCCTGACACAGTCCTCGGAGTCCCAAAAATAAAGTAATCCTTTAAATTCCATGCGAATCCTGGTGAGGTTGCAGGGGACAATCTTGAGTCCTGGGAGCAGTTGCTTCTGAGAGGTTCCACATACTCCCTAGAGACCAGAGAGTGGTGGAAAACAGCATTTTGTAATTCACCACCTCAGAGCAGAGACTCTGGGTTTAAAAGATCAGAGAAATTGGTCCACAATTCAGAAATCTGTCTTCAGACATCTTTGTCTGGCCTGGCCAGAAACAGTAAAACCACATCCATGTCAGGGAGAAGAAAGTTCCTAATTAAATTCAGATGTACAAGAATATTTCATGGGTCTATTTTTGTAATTATACTTTATAATGGACAAAAATATCTAAAGAGCATAAAAAGTGATACATTAGCCCTGGCTAGTGTGGCTAAGTGGTTGGAGAGTCAGCCCACCGACTGAAGGGTCATGGGTTCAATTCCCAGTCAAGGGCACATACCTGGGTTGCAGGCTCGATCCCTGTCCCCCATCTGGCTGCATGCAGGAGGCAACCAATCGATGTGTCTCTCTCACATCCATGTTTCTTTCTCTCTCTCCCCCACTTCCCACTACTCTCTCTAAAAATCAGTGGAAAAAATATCCTCAGGTGAGGATTAAAAAAAAAAAAAAATGATATGATAGTATCCAGCTTTATATAACAGCACACAACAGAGAGTCCTGAGTCCTCACAGACTCCTAGATCATCTCAATCCCAAAGCCTCCCAGACAAAGCTCTGTCACAGGAACATTTAGAAAGAGGGACTCCAGCAGTGACCTGACTGGAGGTAGGACTTCAAGGACACAGACCCTGCAGAGGGTAGCACACAGGGTCAGGTGACCCTCAAATCTCTTAGGTGTTTCTAAGAAAAGCCTTCTCTAGAGCAGACTGACCATGGGGTTCACAACCACAAGGCCTCTGCTCCAGCCTGGTGAGGGTACACTGTGTTTCGTGGGTTTCTTATGCTCCATGCCCAGGGCTTCCACATCTGAAAGTGATAAGACTCCACTGACCCCCATTCTCTATTAAAGGGTACAAAGGTTCATGAGAACCAGTCCAGGGCTCAGCTCTGTGATCTTAATTACCTGGAAACTCAGTTTCCTCAATTATAAAATGGGGACAAAGGAAACTCTGCTGTCTGCTTCCCAAGATTGTGTGAGGAACAAATGAAACACTACTATGTTCAAATGCTTCTCAACTGAAAGCCATTGTTTTATGTGATAATATTGTCAAAACTGTAAAGGTGTACAATGAGAAGTTTGCTTCTGCTGTGGGGAGTGAGACTTCTTTGTCACAAACTCTCAGGGTGCTGCCTGGTTCCCAGTGTTCTAAGGTTTGGTCCATCCTAGTCATAATCCCAATTTTTGCAGGGATCCCTGGCCTATTCCCTCGGCTTCACATACCAAAGACTTCTAACATTTTTGTATGTTTGTGTGTTTGTAACTGCTTCTCTCTCCTTACAATAACTCAGAAAGTTCTAGAATTCTAGAGCACATAAGGGAGCTTAGGGGCTCTCGTAGTTTATCCAACCCTCCATTTTGCAGAAGGAGACATGGGGTCACAGGAAGGTTAAGAGCCTGTCCAAGATCATGCTGACTTCCACTTGCCTTGTTTTTGGCCTCTCTCACAGCCTGGCAGTCAGTGTCTGCCCTCCAGTGGGTCTTTCAGGGCCAAAGATCACTTGACTCCCACTTTTGCGTGAGTAACTACTACTCAAGCTAAGTGTGTTATGTAGGCTGTGGGGAGCAGGGAGAAGGAGCAGGGTAGCTGGTTGAGGGCAAGTGGTTATTAAAGAATGGCAGTTACAGGGACAGGTGTCTCTAGAGATCCAGATGCTTCATCTTAGCAGAGTACATCTTTTAAATTTGCCTTTTATTTTTGAGAAATAAATACACAGTTGGCCCTTGAACAACACAGGTTTGACTGCGTGGGTCCACTTACACACAAATTTTTTCAGCAAATATGTACATTACTGTAAATGTATTTTCTTTATGATTTTCTTAACAATTTCTTTTATCTAGCTTACTTTATTGTAAGAATACAGTATATAATACCTATAACACACAAAATGTGTGTTAATCGACTGTTTACATTATCAGGAAGGCTTCTAGTCAACAGTAGGCTATTAGTACAGTATTTGGAAAATAAAAAGTTATACATGGATGGGGGATCGGTGCCTCTAAACCCCCACATTGTTCAAGCGTCAACGGTATGGTCGTTCCACTTTTGTAGTTATTTGTATTCATTTGAACTCTCCAGGAAATGACAGATTACATCCACACAAAGCACAGATGCTGTAAGGCTGTAAGTTTCTGTCAGGCTGTTTTAGAAGAACGTGGTACGAGGGAACTAGAGTTCGTCAGGTGACAATTCCTCCACCATTTGCTCACCTTCTTCTCAGCAGATGTTCTGATATTTAGCCAGTAAAAAACTGAGCTTATTTTATGTGTAACCCTCCCCCATATGAAGAAGAATCTTTTATTGTCTGTGACAACAACTGTACCTGTTAGCTAGGCCCAGAGGAACCAACCATGCTGATTAGCCCAGGACTGAGGGGTCCCTGGGACTTTCAGTGCTAAACTGGGAGTGCCCCAGGCTCACCGAGACAAGTTGATTGTCCCAGTAAGCCCCATGCTCTCTCCCCAGGGACCTTTCCAAACAAACAGCAAATCATTATTGAATAAATTGATACCAAATACTACCAAGTTGCTATGTGAGATTGGAAGTCAGAAAGAGAACTGGAATGAATGAGTGAATGAATGAATGAATGATTGAATAAAATGTAATTATTTGTTTTTAGTGAAAAGATCTATAAATAAAGGGGGGGGGGGACTCGGAGGAGGATATTTTACTATCCAGTGAGCAGAAGAAGAGAAAAATTAAATTAAAGGATCTATATAAAGATGTAGATCCCATTCATCAAAAAGAAAAAGCATGAGGGTGAGTTAGAGCAACCATATTATATAAGAAACAGATCACAGCAATGTGTCCCAACTGGCTTACCTTCATGGCACATATTTTTAAAAATATACTGTGGGCAAAAGTAGGTTTACAATTGTGAGTACACAAAATGGAGTTTATTCTTGTATTATTATTTATTAATTATTTTATCATTTATTATTATTATTAATCTACTTTTGGCCACCCCTGTATATAATATCTGCAACATGAAGGTTAAACTGAAGGGAGAAGTGACTTAATGTCCAGAAGTGATCGACTAAGGGACATCTAGACCAGAAGAACTCCCAGTCCACTGAGGGCTGAGAGGATCAGTATCTCAGCCCGCTTGTAACCCACTGACTTCTTTGAACTATAGGATTACAGCACTCGGGTGTAAATGCACAGATCTAGATTCTACTCCGTTGCAATTCTGAAATCCACATTCTCCCTAGGTTTCTGGTGAAACTAGCAAAACCTAGGCAGTCAAACTCCCTTTGATGAGCCAATATTTCAAAGCTTCCTCAAAGGGTGTTTCCTGCAATGGGACTAGTATGGGTTTCTGTTTACATTCTGCTTCCTTGGGCCAGGTTTGTCCCATATGTACACAGAGTTGCAGGCTGAGCAATGACCTAATAATGTCTTTGGGCAAGGAGGAAGTAATCGTAGATCACACTCACCTTGCGTTCAATTGCTGACCTGAAATGAGTTTTACAAAAACATTAAAATATATATATATTGCCCCAAATTTCTCATTAATAAATTCAGATAAACTGGCTTTTTTGAAAAATGGGAAGATCTGAAATCTCAGCGCTCCCCCCCCCCCCC